TTGTTTCAAAATTTCCTTTTATAGTTTCGTAAATAATCATTCAACCTCGAAACATATCCTTTAAAACATCGCTTAAAAACACAAATGTTTTCCTAAGCAAATACTAAGGGCTTAACCCTCATCCTCCTTATATGCGGAATGTAAACTGTCTTACTTGACTTTATAAATCGAATTAGAACGTCACAATACCAATGCCTTTTTGTATGTGATTTAAAAATTATGTATTTCGTTCTGATAAGAACACATCCGATCCCCAAACTCCTGAATAATACTTCTTATATACCTTTTTTAGAGATGATAAGAAAGATTTAATTATTTGTAGATTGATCAACCACAATTCTACTAATAACATTCGCTATACTACTAGCAATTCAGATCACCTCACGCAATCATCCCTCTTCAAGATTTAGTACCATCTCTATTGGATACACATAAATCTCCTCCATTAGGATCCTCTTCGGCTCCTACTCCTTACTTGTCTCCTTTTTGAGATCAACTGAAGTCGTGTTGGTCCCGATATGCGGTGACCTATCACGTACACCTAAATCCTTCCTTGGCTTATACTTTTAAAGTAACGCCAAACGAACCTAAACCGTCAATCCTTAACTCTGCCTTCTGGCAACGAAATCGATAACGTACTCCTTTACACCTTTAAGTCTTTATCGTTTTCGTCTTGAACCCATCATTTTCCTAGTGCCTACCATTCTATGACTATAGAATATAATTGACATCAGCTCCTCCTAACAAACCGTAAATAGAGTACAATGAATCCTAATACGGGCTCTAAGTTTTAAGAGACGCAACGCGGAAGTCACATAACGAAAGACACTCCTAAGGACACTTGAACCTGGAGTGCTCTGATACCAACTGTGATACCCCCGAATTTCCGAATGCGGGTTGGCCAGGCCCACGCCCGAATACCCGAGGATATCAAAACAAATTGATAATAAACGAACACAGAATACAAAAGAACAAAGAAGAATAAATAAAATGCTGACAAGAAACTAAAATGATAATCTAATAATAAACCTCATAATATATTTCCATTAATTAATAAACTCTTCTGATACAACTGATCCTCTAAAATACAACTCGGAAATCCATACTGTGTGGACCCCTAAAAAATCCAAACTAAACAAATGACAGTAATCTAAAACAGGAAACTGAATCATAAAGGAACTCCTATGTAGCATTGGAAGAATGAAGTAGACTGATCCCCGCTCAGCACGAACAACCTCTACTCGTGACGAACACCTGAAAATAATGGTGGGTCAGGCCCACAAACAAGTTCTACTCTACTACAGTCCAAGCAGAGATCCGATACACGTATACATCCTAGTCAATCCAACAGTAACTAGTTGTCTGTATATATATATATACACACTAAAGGAACCTCACTAGACTATAGGGTTGTCTCAACCTGAATAGTAGGCAACATGCAAAACGCACATATAGTGGGTATGAGTACCTAGACCTACCAGGGTACACAACTACACTATATCTAGCTACACATCCCTGGCGATATACGCGCCCTAACCATTGATCCTGAGACTCAAACTCATATCATGGCACCATACTTATATATATATAATCTAGTAACCATCCTATCCAGTATAAATTAATCCTCCATAAGTTATTCAACTTGTTCAGCTGACCTGACTTGAATATAAGTAGGACTTAACATTTTAGTTAATCCATTTCCTTATATAATAAATTAATTATCCATAAGTCATTCAACTTGTTCAGCTGACCTGACTTAAATATAAGTAGGACTTAACATTTTAGTTAATCCATTCCCTTATATAAAATAGGTAGGACTTAACTAATAAGTTAATCCATCCCTAGAATGCCACCGTCCCATACCGGTGCATTAAACCACACAATCCAATAATTGATGTAACAATTAAGGAAATACATCAAACATTCCATAAATAACTATGATAAATATGATATCAAGTTATCACATAATAGGAATGACTTATTATTTCTTTAAACTTCCTATATCATATGTCCTACACAAACTGAATCTTATACATGATGATATTTTATTATACCGTTAAATAAGGATTCTCCATATCCAATTCATCCTACACATTTAATCTCAATTGTTAAAATATTTTAAAAGATTAAATCCATTCGTTTGTTTAAAACATTCAAATAAGAAGCATCATTATGATTGAGTCTATTTAAATTTATTAAAACCCAAACCTAATCCATATTTAATGTTCAGGAATCTTAGGCATGTTTCTACGTTCCATCATTCCACAGATATGACAAATATATAATTTAAACATGTAAAAATTCACATAAGAAATCAAATCAAAATCATGCATTTTATCAATTCATAACACAAGAACAGATATGAACCAATTTTATAAAAACCTATGTTTTAATCCAATTAAATATGCATAATTATTTAATTTTATGTGTTTAATAAATCCTGGAATTTCCTAGGCATGTACAGAAACACGAATCAAAGGGAAAGAGATAGAAGCAGAACTTGCCTTAAACTTTTGGATCGAAAGTTAAACTTCTTCTTCCTTGATCTTCTCTCTATAGGGTTTTTCTCCTCATTCCTTCCTTTTCCTCTTTCCCTCTCTAACACTATCTCTCTAATATACATCATGTGAATATTTCTAACCCCCTTTTACAACCTATAGCTATACATTTATAGGCTAAATAAAATAACCCTAACCCTTTTCCCAATCCAAGTCAACTAAAAAAAATGAAAATAAAAATATTTAAAAAGTAAGCAAAATATGTTACGTATAAAATTTATGTATATGTTTATTAAATAAATAAATTATACACATTCCATTATTTATTAATGGATTATCCAATAATATTTAAGTTACCATAATATTATAAAGTAATTTAAAACATAACACATATCAAATCTATGTATATTTTTACTATTTAAATAAACATATACATCAGATTAAATATTACTACCCAAATTACCATAAAAGTAATTAATAAATTACTTTATCTTTTATATATATATTAAAAAAGTAAGTAAAATATGTTACGTATATAATTTATGTATATGTTTATTAAATAAATAAATTATACACATTCCATTATTTATTAATGAATTATCCAATAATACTTAAGTTACCATAATATTATAAAGTAACTTAAAACATGTTATGTATATAATCTATCTCTATCCTCATTAAATAAATAAAATATATACATCAGATTATTTATTTATACTAAAGTTACCATAATATTAAAAAGGTAACTTAAAACATGTTACGTATAAAATATATGTATATCCTTATTATATAAATATATAAAATATATACATCAGATTATTTATTAATACTAAAGTTACTATAATATTAATAAATTACTTTCCTTTTTATATATATGTATATACATATATATCTATATATATACATATACAACTATCCATGGGTAATTATCCATACTCATCCAACCTCCTATCCAAGTAGTCCATGGGACCCAATTAGTTAGCCCATTACCTCTAACCATAACCATAAAATAAAATAAAATAAAATATTTAATCATTTAATTTACAATTAATTACAATTAATCAAATATATCATTTAAGCACACAATCTAATTAAACAAATAATACAAATAACACCTAGACAAAATACAAATAACACATAGATAAGTAGCCAATTAATCAAATAATAGTTAGTTCAATTAAACACATAAACAATTAGTCAAATAATCAATTAAACAATTAAAAAAAATACAATAAAAATAAATAAATAAATACCCAGACTATTCTTTTAAAATTAGGGGTATTACAAGGAGGATGGAGAGGTGGCTTGTGAATTTTCCTCTGGATCCAAACTGTATAATGGGGAAAAGAGGTTAGTGGTGATTGCAGCAGGTACTAGTGGAAGCATGTTGGACTTTCTTCTTCTTCCTTACTGTGATCCATGCACTGGTTGGAGGGTTGATAAAGTCTGTTGCAGAGCTATTATGCTTCTGAGGGGTGTTAATACCTCTGCTGTTATGTGGTGGGTTGATGAAGCTAATGGAGCAGCTTGCTTCAGTGTGGTTTAAGTGGTTGCATTTGGTGCAAAACTTAGGGAGCCACTGGTATTCCACCCTGATTTGCTCAAAGCTATTATCTTCCATTCTCAGTTGAATTTTATGTTGAAGGGGTTTAGTCAGGTCCAGGTTAACACATATTCTTGCAAACCTAAGCTTAGTCACATTTTCTGTAGCTTGGTCAGTATATAATGGCTCCCCCACAGAGCTTGCTATATGGCTTAACCCTTTGGCTGTCCAATAGTTCATTGGAATGTTGTGAAATTTAATCCAAGTAGGGATGCAAGTAGGGTGTGTGACATGTGAGGTTGAGTAATGGTTCCATTTCATAAGGGAGAATGGGTGACCTGCTATTGACCAAGGACCTAAAAAGACAACGTTATCAGCCTCAGCAGTGGAGCTGAATCTAAAAAGGAAACAATTACTCTCTCCAAGAATGGTATTTGTGAGCCCCATTGATCTCCATAGCTTTGAAGCTGCCTCTTGTATGACTTTGAAAGGGATTCTTTTGTGAATGGAGATATCAACAAGGTGAGATGATGCCCAAAACTGCTTGCCTTCTTCAACAACTTCCATGGGTGGGTCAATGAAGGACGATGAGGTAGGTGGTATGAATTTGAGAACCATTTTACCAGTGGGTTGTTTGACTACTTCAGTCCATGGTTTAGTCTGTTAGGTAATGGTAGGATTGTTGTGGAGGGGAGTTAGTTTGACTGTTGTGTTGTCTTATAACTGGTGCGCAAGGTTAGAGAGAGGGGGTGGTGGGGCCAATGCAGTCTGAGGTGAGTTTGGTTGAAAGCATAAAATAGGTAAAGCAGGATCATCAACATTTGTAAAGGTGGGAAAGCATTCCACTACTATACCAATTTGGGAAATCTGAGCTGAGGAGGCTACAGTAGCCTGCAGAGATGAATTGACCAGGGGGATGGGATTTGAAATTAAAGTTGAATTTGAATTTGAAATCAAACCTGTTCCCTCTTTGGGTGGTAGTGGCCCGTTGGTGGTGGTGGTGGTGGTGGTTGTTGTTGTTGGTGGTGGCTGCTCAAAGGCTGAGGAGCTAACTAGTAGCTTGTTTTTCTCCTTGACTTCTACAAGCTCAGCTCTCAGCTCGGAAATGATCACCTTTAGGTTGTTGTACATCTCCATAGCTCCCCCAGATTTTCATCTTTCCACTCTAGCTGTTCTTGTAATCTGTCAATTTGGTTTGCTGGGGAGGAGTATAACACAGAGTTGAAATTTCTTGGCAAGTTGAAGTTAACTGGTGAACCATTGGGGGGAAAATGGCATGGAGATGAGTTAGGAGCAGATGAATTGCATAAAGGAAGTCTTATTGGATTGACTGTTGATGGAGGGAAATGTAAATGAGGCTGTCCTGAGATTGAGGATAGGATAGGTGGGTGATAAACTTGTGTATGGAGTGTGGTGGTTGTTGGATTTTTAAGGATAGTTTTCAGGTTTTTCTATTTAGGTTGAGTTTTCTGTAGTGAAGGGTGAGACTGACTAGACTGTATTGAGTGGGTTTTATGATGGTGAGAGTGGACTGTGTTGAGAGGAATATTGTTTAGGGATGATATAAACTGTGGAGGGATGGTGGAGGTATGATTCTGTGGAAGGAATGAAGGTTTGAGGTGGTTGGATTTGGTCTGTAATGGAGGTTTGGGTTTGAAGAGAGGTTTCTTCATGGCTAAACGCGTTGAAGTTACATCCGTAGACTACAATTTCTATGTTTGTAATTACTTTTTTGATGGAATTATTTTTAAGTATTTACATGTTAGTAATTAATGCTCCCTAATTTTTTTATTAAATTAATCCTATTTTTTATATCGTTTATTAGAGTTGCACTTTGGAATGGAAACACACTCACTTCCAATTATCTTTAATTCATTAAATTAATTTCGAAACAATCATCTCAATGATATTGAAGCACATTAAAAAAATCAATTCTTTCATCGTCACTAATCTAGGAAGATAGACAGCACAAAGTTACAAACTTTTGTGTGCAAGTACTTACCCTAACAATAAAAAAGAGGACATTGTGATGTCAGTCGAAGACACTTCAGAACTTATTTCAGAAAATGTCAAAGAACAAGAGAAAAAACATAACACAAGTGTTGTAACTTGTAATTGATTGCATATATTGAAGCATTAAGACAACCCACTTGCAATAGACAAAGATAACTTGTTAGCAAGACTGATAAGAAATAAAAATTTAGGGGTCAAACTAGCATGTTTATAAATAAATTTTAGCAATGATTATAATAGTAATTTCGCGCGAGTGTGGGGCCAATGTGTTAGGATAACTTATTGTAGAAGTTTGGACATAGAGGACCAAGACAAAACTAAAATGCTTTGGTTCATTATAGCGAAGTTATTCCAACTTTAAAAAAATAAATAAATAAAAACTTCAACAATCCAGGTTAGGGATGGCAAGGGAACGCCATTCCCATTTTATCACCGTTTAGCATAGTTGTTGCATTTTCGTCCAAAACCGTTCACTTGAAAAGCTAAAAAAAGGTGGACTTATGTAACCATAGCCCGTTTAGAGGAGTGTTGGATGAGAGATTGAAAAGGTTGTTAACTATTTGCATTTCCAGAAAGCAAGTACTCTCACATTTTAATACACGTCTTGTAACATGCATCTCTGGTAAAGTATTAAAAAAAAAATAATAATAATAATAATAATAATAATAATAAAGTATACTTGAATTAGAGAAAGAATGCTAAAATTCATACTAATTTACCGGAAAAAAACAAAAGAATACTAAGATAAGTAAACCAACTGCCATTTCCTAATATACTGTGAATTAGAGTTTTAAGTATATACACTGTGAATTAGAATTATAAGTATATACACTGTGAAATTATATATTATTATATTTATGCTTTGTTCAGTTTTCAAAAGACAGTTTTCTAATTTTTGAAAATTAAAAATAAAAAAATTGTACAAATATCTGTTATTCGGTTGACAATATTTTAGATTTGTTTTATAAAAATTTAATTACGAAAAGATTTGTCTTCATATAACTATCTTTTATAATTCTTTGAAAATAATTTTTCATTTTTCAAATTGTTGAGTAGAGTGTCTGACATAATTTTAATAACACGTAAGAATCAAAGTGTAAAAAAATAAAAACAAATTTGGTGTCCAAAATACAATTGGTAGATCTTTAGAATATTTAAATTGATAGTATGACGTGGAAAAAAGAAAAATATTCAGTTAGATGTGGACAATTTGAGTGAGAGAGAGTAGAGAACCTTAATTACCCAAAAAAGGAGAGTAGAGAACCTGGTGTAGTTAAGAGCTACTCCAGCAAAGAGGTTAATCTGATAGCTCAAATGTCAGCTTCTTTTCAGCTTTTAGGAGACGCAAGCATCAAAGCTTAGGCCAGGAGAACAAAAGTACCCACATATATATAGAAGAGACATTACCATTCATAATCGTCAGCATCCGCATCATCTTTTTTGTCTCCTTATGATTTGTTTGATAAGAAAAAAAGAAGAGAGGTGGAAGGAAAATAGAAAGGAAGAAACAACTTTATTCATTTGGTAGAGAGGAGTAAAGGAGATCGAGAAGAAAAAAGATAATGGATGAATAATTTTTCTTCCTTCATAAATTTTCATCCCTTTAAATATGGACGAAAGACAAAAAATAAAAAATAAAAAATAAGAGACAAAGCTATTATAGAAAATTAACACCATCGATCTCTCTCATTCTCTTTTAACAAATAAAATAAAGTATTATTTCATTCTCTTTTTTTTCTATCCAAACAAATAAATGGAGGGAAGTACAAAATCACTTCCTTATAATTTGCATGGTTAAGAATACACAGCATATCAATTTTTGTTGTAATCTACGTGCATGGATTATATTGCATGATAATTAAAAAAGTAAAATTATTTATAGTACCATAATTATGAAAATATATAGAACTTTTATTATTGGCATAAATTTTTTTGGCCCAAAAACTCTATCCCTTTGTACATGCATGGATTATATTGCTAAGATGATTAATCCTGAGGTCCTTGCACTTACGGTGATAAGTAACGGATGGATTGGAAGAGAAAATCTATTGATAATCAGGTAGAAGATAGACTATCCTAGAAGGAAACATATCTCATCTTGAATGCTGATTGTATAGTAAAATCGTACTCTATTCGTCCCAAAAAAGTTGGTTACTTTGAAAACTTTGACTTAATATTTTTCATTTTATGGTCGTACCTGACAAGAATGGCCATAGCTTCTCTATCATTTGTGTGTTTTTTAGTTCTTGACATGCATGCTATAATAGGTAGGTACAAATATGCGTCACTCATTAAAGATGCCCCCTAATATTTTTTTATTAAATTAATCCTATTTTGTATATAGTTAATTAGAGTTGCACTTTGGAATGGAAACATTCACTTTCAATTATCCTTAATTCATTAAATTAATTTCGAAACAATCATCTCAATTATATTAAATACTGGTATAATTGGGAATTTGGGATAGCAGCATCCAAAGAAAAGCCATCATCACGAATATATATATATATATATATATATATATATATATATTGGAATTCATTCAATTTGCAAAGGATGCCTAGTTATCAAAGTTATACTTTTGTTCCAAAATTGGAATAAGGAAAGAATTGTTATTTTGAATTTTCAAAAGGAGGCTAATGCAATAAAATCGTGAAAAAAAATATAGTGTGTATATATTATACACAAACATAATTGTTTCCTTATATATTCCAATAATTGATGGATGAATTGTTTTACGGGGTTGCCTGTCTAGCAGGGAATGACCACAGCCTTAAATATGGTATCAACTAAGGCCAAAAGGCTGGAAATCAGTACCAAGTGCAACAATAGGACAAGGATCATTTTTTCTTCCAAATTTTCATTGGACCATCATCATATGCCATTATCTAACAATGTGACAACATATGTATTGACAGTATCGTTCGATTGAGACCACACAATTATGTGCATCTTTGTGGGTCCAAAAATATAAAACAATTGCCCTCATGGGACACTCCACAAGCTACATCCATGTGGGCTCGGAGTTGTTAACAAAGTTTTTTTTTGATCTTGTAACTCTGTTAATCAAAGAAGTTACTTGCGTTCGGTCTGGCAAACATTTAAAAATTGGAAGTAAGTCTGATTATTCTTTTTCTTGGTTTACAGTGGTTCAACCAATATAATATACTCTGTATATATGTATGTCAAAAATAATATAAAATTTATAGTACTTTTTTCTTTTCATTTTATGATAAATTTTTTTATTTTAATTTCTTTGATCTGAAAAATCAGAACAATACTTCGAATACAAAGGATACGGATTTGAAAAAATTCAAATTTGAACATCAAACATTTAGATATGTACTTTTGTAAAAAGGAAAATTTTAGTGTTGAAACTTCAAACATTTAGATATGAAATTTTGTAAAAAATAAAATTTTAAAGTGAGATGGAACGTGGAGATTTATGAAGTTTCTGAGTTAGGAGGCTAGTATAATAATTATATATAATGAGAGATCCAAAAGGAAGTTAGGAAAAATAGTAATTAATTATTGGGACAGGTAATACACGCGTCGATTACTACATATTACGACCCTCTTATAAGAAGGGTGAGTCCAGAAATTAAAAGCAGAATTAATTTCTTCCATATGTAAACTTTTGAAAATTGACCAAACCATGTTAATCTCGATTGCGTAAAATTTAGTTTTAACGGAACTAAAACTCTGGCTTTTATTATGATTATTATTTTTTAATTTATTGTCATAGTATGAGAAGGGTGAGTCCAGAAATTAAAAGCAGAATTAATTTCTTCCATATATAAACTTCTGAAAATTGACCAAACGATGTTAATCTCGATTGCGTAAAATTTAGTTTTAACGGAACTAAAACTCTGGCTTAAAAATTTATTGTCATAGTATAGGTCTAATTTTTTAAAAAGTTATTAAAATTATACTTTTGTTCCAAAAAGAAAAAAATTGGAATAAGGAAAGAATTGTACTTCTGAATTTTCAAAAGGAGGCTAATGCAATAAAATTGT